TATGTGGCCGGCATCTGATGCTGCATAGTCATGCCAAGTTTGACACTTATTCGACGAGCTGCCGAGGAGCAATAGGGTAAACTGTGGCGGTGTACATGAATTCATTTTGAACTATCTGCCCTGAGTCGCGAGACCTATTAGTTTGGATTGCTTTTAGATACTTAGAAAATATAAAACAATAATTATGCGTGAACATCATGCACTTGTATTAAGAAGATACCAGTGGCGGATACAGAGGGCGGGGCTACTTTTTAAATGTAAACAATAGACTCAAAATATTACCTAACATGATAACCTGTTTATTTGGTTGTAACAGTAAATTAAGTGTTAAGTCTACCCCTCCTACACCCCCCTCCCTTCTCCTCCGTTTTTTTAAATCCTTGATCCGACCCTGCTGAAAGATGTTAATAATGTTGAGAAAATGATTGTGTATGTTCACATAGAGTTGTACCCACGACTGGCCATCAAGAAATGTACCATATGCCTAAAGCCTATTAGGTACTGAAATAAAAGGATTGAATAAATAGTGCACGTCACAATAGTAAATGTACTTTTAATACGTGTTGAATTTAGGAATTGGACCAACACTAGATTTTATTTGTGTTAATTTACTACTAAAATGTCTGCTTCATCATCTAATCAAATACTGCTAATAGACACAGGGACGCTTACCATAATGTTATTCTGCTTGGCAAATATCAACCCTCTCTCTAGAGATATGTGTATTGTCAATCGGTGCTAACTAAACCAATACCGAGGCGTCATCGCGAGGAACATTAAGTCATGGTTCCATTGTCACATATGATTCAGTAAACCTCATCCTTTTTTATGTATTATTATGATTGTTCTTTTCACCAATATCCGCTTACCTTTGGTGCTTCTAAATCAGTATTTCCATTTCTTCTGATGTCGTTGGCGTGTGATATGAATTTTTATGGTTGTTTGTTTATTACAACTCACATTGTAACAGTCATAATTGCACAAGTATTCCTCATGAGAGTGGTTTGAAGGGCAACACCACACAGAAATCTACAGAGGTTGATTTTGACAATAGCAATAGCGTAACATGAATTTAACGATCAATGCCAATTACTGTGTGAATTGATAACTTCGCACAGAAGGAGTAGATGTCAATACTTCTTATAATCTATTTTGCTGGTTTTATTAATGATTGATTGTGTTGATCGTTCAGAGATGTGTGGCCAAGCATTTGAAAAAGAATTACGTAAGAACATCAAGTTAAAATGACTGTACATTGGGAAGCAAAAAAATGTAAATATAGCTGGAAACAAACGTTTTATAAAAAAATTAGGCAAGGAAATTGCAATGACACCAGGTGTCACAAGGACGTGTCACAATTGTGTCAGCAAGCACTAACCTTGAGACAGAAGGGCGACGTTATTCCATTTCAACCTTTTCGCAATGGTCGCCACAGCCACGGATAAACTATGTTGTTCCGGAAGTATCGAAACAACGCTGTCAGAATCTTTCGCTCTCTGACCGACTGATGACGTCAGTATGTGACGTTGATTTATGATGACGTACTTTGAGGTAAACATGTCTATATAAGGGCCAATTGTGACGGTTGTGAATTGGTTGTCAGAATTCCTTCTGGCTGAAACACAACAGCAAGAGCAATAGTGAAACTGGAGAGTTAATTAGTATATAAACCTATGTTGTTCAGCACTATCCATCACTTGTTTGATATATGTGTTAGGATCTACACCGAAACGTCGCACTAATTGTAATAAAGAAGTTGTACATTCATAGAACTTGTCTTTCTTCAAAACATCACTTGTTGAATAGTTTTCACATTGCCTCCACAAGTGCAAGAACATCTGCTTAAACCTCATCACGTTTTTCAACGTTGATAAAATATTATATATTCGTAGATACATAAATGGAAGTGATCTTTTTCGAACTGTGGCCTCATTCTGAACTATCCGGCAATATGGTGATCATGGTTATGGCCACAAGTCGCTATTTCATCGAATATGTTTTCGGCTTGAATCGGAGTTGATAAGTTCGTTATATTCTCATTTGCGAAGTGTGCGTGATTTTGAAAGCTAAAAGTTCGAGTACTACCGGAGACACATATAAACCACAGAAGACTCGGAGTTGAAAGCAACTATCAGATAGAATACATGTAACAGACAAAAGTCAGCTCTTCACCCTACCTGCTGTCAGACTGTTGTAGATCGTGCTGCCGTTGGTGGTGTCGTACGACAGCTTCTTGAAGTTGATGGCGCAGAAGTCATCCCCGTCAAGTAGCATGTCAGCGATCTCTCTGTACATATCGGCGTCCTCTGAGTCAGGGTACCCCATCACACCTACACAAACACCAATGGTGCTTTACTTGTCTCTGGACAAATGTTTCCTTTGCACATCACAGTTACATTACCTTCTTGGCAATTTACTTATTTATTACTATATTCTTAGAAATCATATATATATAGAAACATCCTTCGAGGTTTACCACACTAACACGGTTTATTTCATTGTTTTTATGTGAGGTTAGTATTACTGGTATGTACCAGTAGTGTCAAACTTTAAGACTGGTAATTTATGATAGAAAAAAATACTTTAATTTTGGAAATATCCACGAGAAGGACATTGGATTTTACGGACATTTGTCGTCTACGATCGGAATGGTAAATACCATCATTGATTGGGTAACTGTTATCCACGATCAGAATGTTAACTTGTTTCAAACTTGGCTACGGGTAAATTGCAACTATAATTCAATCTGTCATTCCCTACTCCATAAGGAACAATATACAGTAAACTACGGTTATAACGAACTCTAAGGGACCACTAATGTTAATTCGTTAAGGCCGTAGTTCCTAATAAGCATATATACATCATATATGCAGCAAATGGTCGGGACAAAAAACAGTTCCTTATATTTACAGTAAATATATTAAAGTGTTCAACTTCACATAATAAAATGTCGTGAGTCATTTCAATCATTAAACCATTATACATACTCGCATTGATCATGTACTTGAGTCCAGACACCTCCTGTATCAACACACCAAGCGTCATTGCAACAGGAATCCATGTTTGAAGCTCCATGTTTACTCCCTAGATAGAGCCTGGGAAATCAACGGTTTTAATGAAATTTCGTTTCACATTAAGCAGGACATAGTTTTTATCAAGCCTTTTTTTCGTAAGTTATTGGTGATAAGTCACTGAGGCAGTTTCATTTCATCGATCTAACATACGAGCGTAGTTATACAATTATTGCACCGGGTTTTTTGGTAAAGATCTTAAAACCCTATAGTGATTCATAAACACATCTTTATGCTGAAAACTGTGGAGCAAAGGATACCCCTCAATGGATTTTATCACGTGTTTGATTTTCAATTAATTATATCCTAAGTGAGCGATATTATACCAAAAACCTGAACTATACTGGCGCTTAGTCAAAGAAGACTTCTACATGTTTTTACTTTTCGACATATATTTTCAATTACATAAGCAACAAACTCGGTATACTTTCTTTGGCCCATCTGTTTGGTCGAAATCGCACAGTGGAGATATGAGATATTTCCTGTGGTTACGAAATGGTTTTGTCGCTTTTATTTATAAGATAAAGACAAGAATGATCAGATGGACTACAGCTCACACCTTTGCAATGTTTTTATTTCGCTGATGATCAATAATTTCTTCAAACTTCAAACTGAAATCAATTTGAAAACATACAATCTCAACACACAATCAAAATAATTGGGCAACAAATATCAAAATCACCCTTTTCAGTTTAGGCCTTGGATACAATCGATGGATCGGGGGGTTGTAAATGTCAAGATGTTTATGTCATTATTACTCTAAAGAGCTAAAGATTGGTTTCAGCAATTGTGGATAGAAAAACTGAGTAAAAGCAAATGTACATAAATCTATTTCCCTCTTCAAACAACAATTTATACTCACAGAATATCTAATATATGTTACAATAAAAACAATCGAGTATCTCTAGCGCAGTTCAGAGCAGGTTATTTTAATTTAAAGATCTATAAAGGTATATTTCAAAAGTTTAACAATATCTGTAAATCTTGTAACCTTAATGATGTAGAAAATGAGTATCATTTTATGCTTGTCTATAAAAGTATATTTCAAAAGTCTAACAATATCTGTAAATCTTGTAACCTTAATGATTTAGAAAATGAGTATCATTTTATGCTTGTCTATAAAGCTACATGTATATTTCAAAAGTCTAACAATATCTGTAAATCTTGTAACCTTAACGATTTAGAAAATGAGTATCATTTATGCTTGTCTATAAAGGTATATTTCAAAAGTCTAACAATATCTGTAAATCTTGTAACTTAATGATTTAGAAAATGAGTATCATTTATGCTTGTCATAAAGGTATATTCCAAAAGTCTAACAATATCTGTAAATCTTGTAACCTTAATGTGGAAAATTAGTATCATTTTATGCTTGTCTATAAAGGTATATTTCAAAAGTTTTACAATATCTGTAAATCTTGTAACCTTAATGATGTAGAAAATGAGTATCATTTTATGTTTGTCCATAAAGGTATATTTTTAAAGTCTAACAATATCTGTACATCTTTTAACCTTAATGATGTAGAAAATGAGTACCATTTTATGCTTGTGTGCAAACTCTATCTTCAATAAAGAAACAATTATATTCCAAAGAAGTTATTTTACCCAAATGTCAATTTGTTTTACATAATCATGTCAACCTCAAATATTTATTTTTTTCAAAATATTGCATTGTACATACATCATGCATTGTTAGTTCAAAGAAACACGCATACCTGTAAATACGTTGGGTCTATGGTCTTTCAGGTTGCCATGAATAAGCAATTTGAAAAAACTGACGAAAACTATTTAGAATACGATATACGCACCTGTTGCAACATGGGGTTCTACTTTATGATGACTGACGGAACACAATCCCTGTGGCCCTGGGGTTGGTAATGCCGCTCCAGAACATGTACAGCGTTATATTCCTCTATTTACACATCACTCCGTCCTACACGTAAATCAAATAGAGGAGGAATTTGGTCGATAATAATCACTTGAAATAAATCTTTTGTTTACCGTATCTCGGGTGTGGGGAGGATAATACTATCCTGTGCAGCCTCCCTGTATTGAATCTCAAACTTGATATACTTTTTTTATGTTTGTTTTCTGATAGATATAATCCTTCCAAGATCGTACACCATGACAGAAGATCATGTTAGCTGTACGGCTATACCAGTATCTTATTCAGCATTAAAAGATGAGTTGATGGTTGGTTGTTTAGGTTAGGGACTTTGGGATCTTCTCTAAAGGGCATCTGTGTTGACGTCATGCCATGGGATGTGACCCAGTCATCCTGACCTGGATTGACCGTTATATGTTTTACTTGTCAGGGGGCAAAACATCCCCTAGGGGTTAATGTTCGACTGTTACAAACAAATATTTAATGTCTGACAAAAACAAGCCTTGATGTTAATGTAGTCGTGTGAAAATAAAAGCGACAAAACCATTCCATAATCATGAGCAATTTCTGCTAAACGTTCATGGTATTATTCCGACTATATCCTTATATGTTTAGGAATCCCTTTCAAATAGTGATGACATTAGGTGTTCGCGAAAAGGTGACGGCATCCTGCCCAAACCGTAGACAACCATCATAAACACATGCAAAGGAAAAGAAACACGACAAGAAGTCAAAATAGGGAATTGCATTGGACATCATTTTGGTCACTGATGCATGACATTTGGTAATGTCCTCCACATGTCTGCCATGAAACCTTTTGAAACTTTTTATGAGGACTTGAATATTGTAACCGTGATCAAACAACGTTTGAGTCGTAGGAAAGCCGTAAGGAAGATGTAAGGAAGCCGTAAGGAAACTTAATGGTCTGCTTTATTGTAGCACGTGTTAATGGACTGACACATGTTATATTGAAACTCACAGCAAATAACCATGCACAGTTCATCTGTTTACTCCAAGGAATATAAAGTCTTTGTGTTCAGACTGATATGAGCTATTTCCATTTGCGCATTCTACCGGTACAGCAATTAGTGTGAGAGGTAATTAATTGTCTGCAGATGAAAGGTAAGAAAAAATATCAGCTTTCGAGGTGAGGTGAACTGGGGTTTAACGTCGAGTCCAAGATTATTGCACTTATATAGCAACGTGCATGTACGTGTGAGTGTGTGTGTGTGTGTGGCTGCTTGTACTAGTCCAGACCAGTCCTTGTTTTAGCCCCTTAATGCCGAGCGCCAGACAGGGTAACAACACGTACCATCTTTTAACGTCTTTTGGTATGACGCGGCCGGGGATCGAACCCCGGACCTTCCGCTCCCCGGGCGGACCACGGAGGCGGTCAAGCTTTCGATATAATTTAGATAATAGTGAAGAAAAGGTAACAACTAGTCTCTATGAAAACTAGCAAGAAAGGGAAACAATCAGACCAAAGAGATTTACTCAAACCGGAAGTTACTGGGTGAGTAAAAATCCAGGACATTGGGAGTCGATGGCGCACTTTTGATTCTATTTAAGTTGTATACATTGCTATTTTCGACGATCATAGCATAATAGTGATTAACTACAGCCAAGAAACCCTAAACGATGCGGGGAAGTGAGGTAGCCCAGTGGCTACAGCGCTCGCTTGTCACGCCGAACATCCTGTTCGATCTTTACGGTTTTGAGAGTTTGAGAAGCCTATTCTTGGTGTCCCAGTCATTATAGGGCTGGAATAGTGATAAAACACACACAAAAATACTCATTCACTCACTGAACTGTGCGATAAAAAATATATGAAATTGAAAATTGAGATGTTTTACAAACACACACTTACCTTGCCACATCAGTCCAGAAAGTAGAAAGTAATCTAGACTAGCCACGCCCTCCTCGAGACACGTGATCTGTTGCAGCTAAAAAGCACTGACGATGTGTCATCAAGTTAGCAGGAGAAATTATCAATTATCAATATTGACTTCGCGAGATCAATCGCAAAGAGAATCACCTCTCGTCACAGCACTCAACAATGAGAAGCCACAATCAGCTGATAATTGTTTTTCGAGGGAGGACAATTCTCAAGCACCACAGGGAATAGAGTATCAATGTGTGAACGCCACATGAGTGCAGACTATTATCTCTTGATGGTCCTGATCAATACAATATGAAAATATAGCTGAGAACGTCATAAACACATCTTCCCTTGCCAAGTAAGAGATGACAACACCGGCGTTCCAGTGTGAACCAGGAGTTAGCCCGTGCAAGCGGAACCCCAGGCCCCAACAAATGTATTGCATGTTCGTAGGACTCCAGGCCAATTTCTTGTCTAACTGAGGGCGGATCCGATTTTCTTTAAAAAAGGGGTCCAAAATATCAATATCCTCTCAGATGACTTTACTGCCTCCAACATAATACATTTGGCAACACACACTCAACACACTCAATATTTGAGTTATAAATAAAAACAGGTAGCATTTTCTGTTTTCTAAAATCTATAATTTCTTTTGTCTTTTTAAAATTAATGGTAAGAAAATAAATCCTGTACCATTCGCCAAATTTTGAAAGTTCGGACTACTTTATGAATGCGGCCACCGCTGCGTCATCTGCGTCATCTGCAAACATAACGGTTAAACAATTGTTATAACTACTGAGACACTCATTTGTGTATACCTTAAGGGACACCCGTAGATGTGAAGGTCACAGATGATTTGATACAATTAGCAGTCACAAACTGTGGCATGTTTATAAATAAACATTCAATCTATTAATAATTAAAGCATTTAACAGACATAGATATTTTTTGCATAAGCACATGAGGCCGTATGATATTACGAGCAGTGTTCGAGTGGCATCCTCTACTCCTCTCACGGCTCAGTAGCAAACTGAAGTGCGTCAAGTAAATGTTTTGTCTGTCTTAAAAGTAAATTTTTAATAATACGTTCCAGGCATTTCATAGGTAATGATTCCAAAGCAACGGATCGATATGATCAATGCAATTTCTTTATAATGTGAATTGATACATGAAGCGACGACGGCCACCAGACATGCTTATCTCCCATGTTGTATGCTTGATAATGCTTCATAATTCTATGTTTTGTTGTATGAATGATAATGACGAGTGTCTGATGATGGCATGTTTCATATATGTAAAAGACATGGGGACTGACCTCAGAACGACTGACTGACAGACAGCAAATGACAACCTACAAACTACAGCGCCATTCTAAGACAACACAGATAACACAAATGTTTGTACGAAAATATCATCTGCATCAGTACCAGCATGAAGGAAAATCGAGATAAGTTCCACTTTAATCATTTATATAGTAGATTCAACACACGGACGCCTCGTTACCCTGAAGAAACCATGTAGATAGACGATAGATGGATTTCAACTTCCGTAATATTAAGAAAAACATAACTTTATGGATAAGAACCTCTCAGGGTTTATTGGTTTATTGCATATAGCGACGTTTCCATGTAGATTCTTATACCGTTATCAAGCTGCAGTGACAACAACCAAGTGATGAGAGGTACATATGTATGGCATGTTGTGATAAGCATCAGATTAACATTGACAACAACGGTAATAGATAACAAGATGTTTGTGTTTAGGCTCTGTGTATTACGTACATCCAAAGACAATGTTAATATGAATTACGCGACGCCGATTCGCTGAAAAGAGTTTGCTATGCAGAGATAACAGTGATCAGCAAAATGTCTGTTGCCAGGACGACGGGGCATACTCGCATTGTTCCCAGTTGTACGCCGAAATGTATCAAAACGTCATTGGCCAAATCTGTTTTACAATCAATCAATCAATCAAGTTTATTTCGTAATTCAGGCCACAAATCTAGTAGTTTACATGTCAGGTAAGACAGATTGTCAAACTATATATCGAGTTAATGTAGTTCAAATTCACTATGTTTCAATGAATTATCATGAGCGGCAAAGAAATGAAATAACATTCCAATGACTCCACAAAACAAGTTCTTAATGCGTTGTGATCTCCTATAGCACTTGGTCAATTCAGCATATGAATCTTCTAGGCGAATATCAGAGATGTATTACACTGTAAACAATGGCCGCCTCAAGTTATATATGTTGAATACTTGTTTATGACTTGATTGATGTATGTTATCGTATTCCAATGACGTAGATCCGTTGCTCATGATGTCAATCACTGGATTATCTGGTCCAGACTCGATTATTTACAGACCACCGACATGTAGCTAGAATATTGCTGAGTGCGGCTTTAAACAGACCAAACTTAATCAAATTGTGGCTGTAGCCTTCTTCCTCTTCTGCTTCCTACCTTCGATGCATGCAATTATCATCAGTACCATGTCCACGACCACTGCGATGACAGTTGTAGCCCCGAGAACAATGAGTGAGTGAGTATGGTTTTACGCCGCTTTTAGCAATATTCCAGCAATATCACGGCGGGGGACACCAGAAATGGGCTTCACACATTGTACCCATGTCGGGATTCGAACCCGGGTCTTCGGCGTGACGAGCGAACGCTTTAACCACTAGGCTACCCGACCGCCTCCGAGAACAATGAAGACACCGTACATGCCGTCGAGCTCCATCTTCTTGGTTGCTACCTCCCAGAGCGGCCTGGGCAGGTACCACCGGGGCTCGTCCATCTGCAGCAGTGGACAAAGGGTTAAAGCGACCTAGGCTCAGACCAATTTGTAGATGTAACTATTTTTATTCCAGTCTTTCAAGCATTGTGCTAACTCCAAAGATACCGTGTGATGCTATATCAATCCATCAGTTAGTGATTACCCTAACCGCTATACCGTCTCCGTTTAAAAAAAATACACAAAATTCAAGGTAAAAATATTGAATGGATATTTTAAAGGACAGTGAAGCATAGTACCCCTCCAAGGCAAAACCAAAATAGTTGTCCAACATTTTTCTCAAATGAAATGAATGTTTCGATGCTGCTGCTGAGGCTAATTGCTTCATCCTATTTTGTGTAAGGAACGTAAAATATCTCATCTCTGACACA